GGGGGGGGGGGCTATGATAATTCAAAATAACCAAATGGATTGACGATTAGCCTAATGAAGAGATTGTTCAGCTTCTGTAACAGTCCAAGTCCACCACTAATAGATACTGTCCTCTTTAGACTTTTCCTTTCGAACTTCTCTCAAGGTTTTTAAAACGTATCTACTAGGAGAGGTTTCCACACCCTTAAAAAGAATGTTTCGTTCTTCAAGGCTCAGCGTCCTCGCTGACACTCGTTTCCCTCTCCAATCAATGTGGGATCTCACAATCCATCCCCTTTCAGGACTCGGCACTCGTTCCTCTCTCTGATCGACGTGGGATCTTACAAGATTGTATTAACTAAATGAACAGCTGAAAGTGAGAGAGAATGTGAGAGAAAGTCAAGATTAGATCCAACGTTAATCACATGAGACTGCCAAATTTTGTGTTTTTTTAGGTAGGATGGTTGAACCATTGCTTGGGTTAAGCTCATTTCATCACTACAGGGAATCCAACTATTTGATTTCTACTGTGAGGCTCTAAAATTCCCTATATACTTTGAAAGCAAGCAATCTAGACTACCTTTCGGGACGATATAATACATCGGGTTTCGACATTATCTAGATTAGGATGATGCATTTGACGATCATTAGAAAGCTTCAAGACTATAATACAAAAAGAACAAGCTAGCAATATATAGATTATTCTTGACAGAAGTTAATTAGACATAAGCATAGAGTTAGCTACCTCGGTCATGGTGGGGCGCCATAACGCAGACTCTCGGATGCATAGAGAAGCTGCAAGGGAAAATCTTTGCAGCTGCGTAACATCGTACGCCCCCCCGAGTCGTGGATCTACAAGCTTTTCATACTCTCCTCGGTTTAATATCGGTTTCGCCTCATTGAAGCAGCGCAACAACATGAACAACATGTCAAGAAGAAACCAACCACCGATGTAATCCACAGACATTCTCGAAAAAAAGGCGAAAACGATCACCAACCGATCGAACCATTTTCAAGCAAGGAAATGATTGTCTGTTTGTTTGTTTGTTGAGGATGAAGTTATAATATATATCTATATATAATGAAAAGTTGATCAAATAATTTAGCATACCCAGGTGTGTAAGCTTTGGTGAGACCCATCAACAGGCTTTCTTCCAGAGATTACTTCTAAAAGAAACACTCCAAAAGCAAAAACATCGGTTTTCTCATCAACAATCCCATGCAAATAGTACTCTGGGGCTAAGTGCCTGTAGAAAATCACAACTCTTCCATAAAAATTTCATTTTGTTCTAAACAATTTGATCCAACAAACTCAAAAGCTTGCTAATTACCCAAAGGTTCCTTCAATGGGAGCAATTGAATGATGAGACCACTGTGTTGGGAGCCATTTAGCCAACCCAAAATCTGAAATCTATGAAACCAAAAACAAAAAAACATGAGGAAAAAACAAGATTTTTCATAAAATTCAGACAAGAACAAGAACAAGAACAGTGGATGAGAAGGACAAACCAGAGGCTCGAAATCTGCAGTCAAGAGAATATTTGAAGACTTAATGTCTCTATGAATGATTCTCCTTTGGCAATCTTTGTGCAAATAATGGAGTCCTCTGGCTGTCCCGATTGCTATCTTGGACCTTGTTTTCCAATCAATTGGACACAGTTTATCATCTGCAGAAACAAGATATTCAAATTCGAGCTTATTTAGGAAATGGGGCTGTGAGAAAAAGCTTCTTTTTATGGGTTACCATGGAGAAGAGAAGCCACAGAGCCTCGAGAAGAGAAGTGGAAGATTAGATAAAGGCCATTGTCAATACAGCAACCTAAAAGAGACAGAACATTTGGATGTTGAACATGGCCGATGGTCCCAATTTCTGTCAAGAACTCCTTCTCTTTCCTCTCATCAGTGGAGGTTTTCGTGAGTCTTTTCACTGCAATTTCTTCGCCGTCGCTTAAAATGCCTCTGTAAACCTCCGCATATCCTCCTTTTCCGACCAAGTTCTCTAATACCCAGATGTAAAAAAAGCGACTTTATATGAAAAAGAACACAAAAACAGAGCAACCTCCAAAAGAAAGGGAAAAAAAGGGTTTTTTTTTTTTTTTTTTTTTGGTGTACCTGAGCTGAATCCATCAGTGGCTTCAAAAACTTCTTCAAAAGAGAAGCATTTCCAAAAGGGTCTTCGAGAATGTTCTAGGAGAAAGCAATCTCTGTTTTGAGAGGCATCTGGATTTGGGGATTCGTCTCCTAAACTACGCCGTTTGAGAGAGAAGAGGCGTCTGAAGCTGTTGTTCCTTATGTACTTCATTCTTCGTGGATTCCGAGGAGAATGGTCTGAGTTCATGCACAGCACAAGAAGAAGAAGAAGAAGAAGAAGAAGAAGAAGAAGAAGAAGATAAGAACAGAGGGACGAGAAACAGAAACAGAGGGACAAGTGTTTTTAAGAGAAGGCTCTGTTTTGTTTGGGGTTTAGAAAAAATGAATTTAAGGAGAAGAACGAAGAAGAGAATGGCTGAATCGTAGCTGATGAAGAGAAGAGTTTGTATAATGCTCGCAACTACGCGTGGCACTGTCCATGGTTTTTAGTTTTTACAACATACATCAACAAAGATGACTGTCTTTGTCTGTTCTGCCTCATTCTCCCCCTTAATATTCTTAATCATCGTATTAATCTAATTTAATTTAGCTCCTCTAGATAATATAATTATTACACTTATCTTAGTTTAATCCACATTAAACTAAACTAAACTATTTATTTCATCTGTTGAGTGATTGTTTTAATTAACACACCTTCTTCTAAGATCTTAAAAATTACAATTTAAGGTGTAATTAATGTTAATCTTGTTTAGATTAATGATAATGGCTCATATTTTTAGATCTAAAAGTAAACTTGAAAGTTTGGAAATGGTCCCTTTTTGACCATTATTTACTCACATCACATGGATGATTCTGATTTTGAGAAACATTAACACATTGTTTAGATCCTTAAAATAGGGTTCCTATTCAATGTCTTTTTATGCCAACGTCAATGGGAGTATTAAATTCTATTCATTTTTGTAAAAGCAAAAACTTTTATTACAAATTTCCAGGTTAACCTAAAGTACTGTTAAATTATATTAATTTGTAACATATTTTAGATGGGGAATGAAAAATTATAATTAATATAAGATGATAGAAAGAGATGTTTTTCTCACCCACCAACAAAGATAAAAGGAGCCTTCACCCATTTAAAATGGATGCTACTTATTTAGACATGCACCTAATTTCATCACAATTCACATCAACAACATCCAACTCACAACTTTTTTCTTTTTCTTTTTCTTTAATTTCTCTTCATTAATTTCTTCATTAAATTAATCATACTTAATAAGATAACGATATTTTACCTAAATTAATCATACGTAATACGACATTTGCATGCAATTTGTTGGGTAATTCGTATTCATTTTGATCGTCTTACCAATAATAGAAAGCTAAACAATTTTAATATTATAATTAAATAGTATCATTTGTCATAACCATGGATATTTTTATATTTTCATTTATGAGGTATTTTATTTTTTATTTTTGTTTATTAAAAATGAAAACTTTAGCTACATTTCCAATATACGAGGTTAAATTTTTGGTCAAAGTAACATTTTGACTCTTGTTACATAGTATTTCTCAGAAAATTTAAAATGCTAGATAAACAATATAATGAGTCAATTTAATGACATTCAAATCTGTAAAAATAATAATAATAATAATAATTTTTAGGAAATTAATTTTAGTAATCATTATCTACCAAAAGAGTCTAACGTTTATTCCATGCACTCACTTATATTTAGAGATGTCCATTTTATCGGCGAGTCCCATGGAGACCCGCCTCGAATGGGAAGGAGGTCCCCCGTTTAAACTAAGAATAGAGGAGAGTTGAGAACATTTTTTTTCCGTTAGATATATGAAGTTAAAAACGAGATTATGTTCTCCATCTCCACCTCGTCTTATTATATCTCTGTCTCACTTAATATAAATATATGTTTCAACACATATATTATATAGTTTTTTTTTTTTTTTTTTGGTTATATTAGAAGAAAAACAGTTTTTAATAATTTAATTTTAAAATAACTATTTTTTTAAAACAAAAAGTAAATAGAGAATTTTGGTGAAAATAAAATAAGTGGCGGGAGTGAGGTTTTTTAGGATATCGAAAAATGTAATTTAATATTTATATTTTGTGGGTTTGGTCTGGAAGAGAAAGAAAAAGGGAGGGCATGCATGTGGGAGATGGGGTAGGGGTTGAGCTGCCCTTGTTTTCCCGATACAAATTCCAATACATTTTCTTTTTCAAATTATTTATTTTATTTCACATATTCCATTTTTTATTCCAAAAGGGTTGTTGGCTATTCCTTTGTTCCCTCTTTTTTTTTTTTTTTTTTTTTTTTTTAATTATATACACCAGCCCATTCATACAAAAATTCTTTTTATATCCCTTCTGCATTATTATTATTTTTTCCCTTTTTTTATTTTAAAAATCATCGTACACGACTATGAAAAGATGGTGCATGTAGCATGTCGTATAAAGTTATATAGTTTCGAATATTGCAAAAAATGTGTAGCCTCCTCAAGTCGGCTTGGCTTTTACTATATTATATTTTATATGTTTTCTTAATATTTATATAAAAGAAGTGAGGTTTGGATGTAAAAATAATGGTAGGGTTATCTCGGGAACATAGCAGAAACGACGATAGAGTACAAATAGTTATATAGGTGTCGTTATGAATATATACGATTAAATACTCGAGATTTTTGAAACGCATATACTAGGGAGAGGTTTCCACACCCTTAAAAAAGAAAGGTTTATTCTCCTCAACCGATTTGGAATCTCACAATCTCACGCGACAAACTAATATTTAATTTGAATTGATTTTACATTGCAATTAAGTATTGTTTGAGATGCCCTAGGTTTCCACAGCCCGTCTTTTAAAAATTATATTAAAAGTGAAGTTTTAACTATTTTTAGTTGGGCCATTTAGAAGTAGACCCATAAATTCATCCATCTTGATTATTTGGGCCCAAATAATCTGATCTGTCGAATTCCAAAGCCCAAATAAGCCCAATGAGTAGCAGGGAGAGCCCATAAATAAAGTCAATAGCCCAATCATTCTTCAGGAATTGTCCAGGCCCATTTCAACACGAGAACCGGTTTCATCTTCCTCCTCCGGATATCTCAATACGAAACAAAGCGGCTGTTTCGGTAATTTTGCAGAAACCGAAGGGCTTTTTCCCGCTCATTTGCAAAAACCCCAAATCCGACTGACCCTTCTCTCCAAGCTTCCCGACAGTACCGGAGATTTTCACCAATCCGACATGGTCGACCGTGAACGCGATCGAGACAGGGGTCGCGACAGAGATAAAGATCGAGACCGTGATAGATACAAGGATCGGGAGCGAGACCGTGACCACCGTGAACGTGACCGGGACCGGGAACGGGAGCGGCGTAGGGATCGAGAAGACCGTGACCGAGAACGGGAGCGTGGTCGGAGTAAAAGGTCACACACTCCCGACCGCCTCAGATCCCGCCACACTCGTTCTCGCACCCGCTCGCTGGACCGGCATCGTACGCGTTCTCTTTCTCGTTCCCCTGAGGACCGATCTCTTCGCCGCCGCCATCGCTCGCCGTCCCCGGAACATGCTCGGAAACGTCATCGCCGGGATTTGACTGTGGATGATGATAAGGAGAGGCAGAAAGTAGTGTCGGACTTCGTTGATGGCATTGCGAAAGAGCAGCACAAGCAGAAGAAAAACAAAGATAGCGTTGGTGGGGAAGAAGTAGTGGAGGAGGCTGTGGCTGATGAGGATGAAATTGAGATGATGAAGAAATTAGGTATTCCCGTGGGTTTTGATTCGACGAAGGGCAAGCCCGTCCCTGGTGCTGATGTAAGTGGCGTTAGGGCAGTGACCAAGCGGCAGCCTAGGCAATACATGAATCGTCGTGGTGGATTCAACCGGCCGTTGCCGGCCGAGCGGACCCGGTAGATAATTAATTTGGCTTGGTCGCCGAGGTTAGTTGATTGTAGGTCTATTAATTCTCAGTTTTTGATTTGTTTGCTTCCATGGTTTCCTAGCTCCACTTGTAATTTGAAAACAAATATAATTACTGGGCTTCTTCGAAATTAATGTTATGACAGTTGAATAGCACAGACCACTGCCTTCTGCATTGAAGTGTAAGCGGCAACGGGGGCGTTTCCAGGTTCTTTGTTATGATCACTGGAACGAGAGTGATTCTGCATGTGGCCTTCTCTCTGAATTTCGGTTTTTATATTCAGATAAATTTGTTCAGTTAATTGTGTGCTTCGTTGCTCCTCTTCCTGGTCACATACAATTGAGAGGACAGCCGTTTCTTTGTCAATTTCATCTGTTTCAGAGGATTTTTAGACACACGTTACCAGTAGTTATTTGACTGTGGCAATATGAACTTTTCACTCATTTCAAAGTATATACAAACAGTTCATTTTTCTTGCATAGGAGTTGAAGATAGGATCATATATTTTCTAGTACTATCAAATGAACTTGAAGGACCCCAAAGTTTATTGAACAATAATTTTGAAATTATAATTTCAGAATTATTAATGCTGTTAAGGAGACAAAATGATGTACTTGTTTCCAATGCAACTTCATAACCTTTGGATGTGTTAGAGGAAACGCAGCTTCTTGTATCAAGATATTGATTCTATATTGATCTTATATAGATGGTCGATGGACACATCAATTTCTTATGTGAGTTAGTCTTATTGTGGCTATTACGAACCAACGGTTGATGGAAGTTAATAAATGGTGAGTTTAGGTACATTGTCAGACTTTCTGATACATGAAATAGTACAGAGCTTAGAGTTGTTGGCGGAAACTTTAATGAATGGTAAAATATGAAACTGAGTTTATTCTTCTGCAGATCATTGACCATAGGAGATGCTTGCAGATCGGAGTATTGTTATGTGCTCAAGCATTGTCTGGTAATGAAATATTGTTACTGCTTCTGCTTAATCAGAAAAAATAAGTTCTCTTGGAGGTTTAGTAAGAAAAAGTTGACCTTGATTGTGTCTTTAAAGTTGGTTGATGGGTTTTGTTTCTTCTCAAGAAAAGAAAAGGATATAGTTGTTCCTCAAGGTAGTCGTTTTGAAAATAGTGTTTTAGAGGGAAGTTCGTCTGATGGCATTAATTCTCAATTTTGCTTGTCATCGTTGTGGGTTAGGCAGGGTTTTATGAACTTTGAGGTCCCAGCTTTGAGATGTCATCCCAAGACTAAAAATTGTATTCAACTTCTTTGGTAGAGATGGATTCTAGGGTTTCGAGAATAGATCCTCTTTGGAGAACTTGGCAACATAAACATCTCAGAAGTAGATGGAATGACAAGCTTCTTAAATTTTCCACTCTAAAGCTCGAACACTCCTTGACAAGCCGTTTAAATTTTATTATATTCTCCTCAGGCTTTCTTTAGGCACGTTGTTGTTTGAACCCTAGCTAGCACCATCCTGATGGGTACTTTCATACTGGTTGTATTTCTGTGCCACAAAGCTTAGCTT